TACAAAGGGGAATAAAAGCAGCACAGTCCCATTCTTGTGCAGCTTACAGTGCTCTAGGGAATGAGAGGTACGATTAAATATACAAGCAAATGAAAATATAAAGGAACAAGCACAGAAAAGGGGTGCAGGTGCTGAGAGTAAATGACCTGGTGGAAGTCCAGGAAGACACCATGAGGATGTGATTACAGAGCTGTGATCTGGTTCAGCAGGGAGAAAGGAGAAAGCACATCCCAGGCCAAGGGAGAAGTGGGTGCTGCAATAATGGAAGGCCCTTGCAGTTGGTTCCCCAAAATGAGTGGCAGTGTGGAATAAGATTAGGTTGAAAAGGAGGGTTAGGCAAGGTCATTAGAAATATTCAAGGAGGGGAGTGTTAGCCCTGGATGTGCATCTTGAAAAAAAAAATTCCTTTTGCATTTTGAGGACCGGGTTGGAAGTTTAGGAGGCCTTGGGGGGACTTTTCCCTTGCTTGGGTTGCCCCCTTTTGGCCGGCGGCGGCCGGGTTGTTCCGGACGGTTGTTCCCTTGTTTTTTTTTTTTTTCGTTTTTTAACTAAGAAGAAAAACACATAGTTAAAAATATCGGATAGGACTAGTACAGCCACCCCTCACCTCTCCCACTAGGGTCCCTTACTCCGCTGGTTACGCTTTCCCTGGTGTTCAAAGAGTGGCCTCCGCTTTTTTTTTTTTTTTAGAGATAATATGCCTAAAGCTCTATTATTTTTCAGTTTTAAGTATTATTCCTACTTTGGAAAGCAGGTATGTCTTGATTTTTGCCTCAAATCCTACCCCGCCCCCTTAAATTTATTTTTATCCTAAGAAGAGTGAACATTTAAAGCATTACCAGCATTTCTTTTTTTTAATCCTTCCACATTAAAAAAAAAAAATACTCTGACTCATTCAGTACCTGAAAAATCCATCAATCAGTAAGCACAGAACCAGTACTTTCCACTATAAATTCATATCTTCACTGTCTATCTGTCATGAGCATACTTGACACAATAAGGATTTTTATCTTTTTAACAGAAAAATGTCAGCTTTTAAGGCTGGCCTAAGAGTATTCAGGGAAATCACAGTTTAATTACCTGTGCAAATTAAAAGATATAATAGAATTATTTGCAGTAGGAAGCAAAAATAATCTTTGCAAAAGGAATGTCTTGAAAGTGAAGTATTAATGAAGTGTTATGGGGGGGCAGTGGCCTGGGCTACCTCCAACTGCAGTGTGTTAGACAATGTGTAGGCAACTTTAATCAAGAGAAAAAAAAATCAGGTATTTGACTTTCAGATAAATCAATCCTAATAAAACAGACACAAATACAAAGCTTTATATCCAAAACTATTCAAAGTAGCATTATTTACAGTAATTGAAATGCCCCTAAAAGTAGAAAAATGGTTAAATAATATCCCTAGAATGAAATAATAAGATTATTAAAATACATGAAGAACACTTAATGCCACAGAAAATGGAGAATGAGAAAAACAGTTGAGGTCAAACTCTATGTAAAAATATGCATGTCTGCATATGTATAATAGACATTGATATTAGACATGTTTAAACATTTATAATATCTGTACACATTCCAATTGTTTTAGGAACATGAAAAAACTCCCAATGTGATCCAGTACTCATACCTCTGAATCACCTTGGAGACTTGTTATGATGCAAATTCTTGGTTCCACTGGAGACCTTCTCCATCATCAGAGCCTCACAATACCTGTCTCTGTAAGCACTCTTGTGCCCTGAGGCACTACTTTGAGCATTACTGACTCATACTTCAAGATACAGGGCCACTGATCCAGTGCACTAATCGTCTTGAATCTTTAAAGAAAATTCTCGAAGAATCACACACTGATTTTATGATTAAAACTTCACTGAAAGTATATTAATAGGCCCTCCCTGGTGGCACAGCACTAAGAAACTAAAGCCACTTCATCATGAGTTCAATCCCCGCCCCCGGAGGTGACCCACATGGCGTGGCAGACCTCTCCTAACTTGCCTGCTGTTCCCCTCAGCAGTGTGCTTCCTAAGTAAGCCTGTTCTGCTCCCCACTCTGTCTCTGGTGAGTCTCCTGAGTCTCTGGCCTGTACCACAGTTCTGTACGCCTAAATAAATAAATCTTAAAAAAAGTATATTTAAATAAAGCATAAATATTAGAAAACAGAGATGATTTAGGGTCTACTGAGCAAATCCAACCATCTTTATGAGAAGTGGAAAGTCATGTTTTATTTAAAATAAGTAGGGATCTTTGGATGCCTGCAATTGGGTCAGATTAGGAGAAAGAAAATACGAGATACCAAGTGCAGCTAAAATTCTTCACCCTAATAGATTTTTAAAAAGATTTTTTATTTATGTATACAGTTCTGGGGTGCAGGCCAGAGGCTCAGGGGCAGTGAAAGGATTTACCAGAGACAGAGTGGGGAGCAGAACAGGCAGATCAACCAAGTACACTGCTGAGGGGAGCAGCGGGCAGGTCAGGAGAGGTCTGCCGCACCCTGTGGGTCACCTCTCAGGTAGGGGATCAAACTCATGCTGAAGTGGCTTTAGCTTCTTAGTATTGTGCTTTAACCCACTGTGCCACTAGGGAGGGCCCACCTTAATAAATTTTGGTGGTAAAAAAACAATCATTTTGAGAAGCACTAAGGAACATCATTTCTTAAGTGTTCGAAGATATTCCTTGGCAAAAGAGAATTCTGTAATCAAATAATACATGTTCTAATTTCCTCTGATTCATACAGCCACAAGCAGATTATAAACTCTGGGAAGTCCAATATAAACTTCATTCTTAATTCTAGCTCTATAAATTCTTAGAGTGTCCTGCCATTAAGAACAAATTCTAGGTCAGAAGCTAGTTCAAGAAAGAATGTTACCAAGGACCCATACAGTACACTTGATCCAACGTATCAATTTGTTCCCACATTCCCATCATCTCTGAGGGTTTAGTCCACATATATTAATAGAGCCTGAATCTAAGGGCATAGCTCAAGCCAGCTACCGAATTATGCTCAGGCAGAAAAAAAAACTTAGTACAATGCTGTACAATTAAGGTAACATTGAAGCAACTGTGTATTTACTTAGCAGACTCTACCACTTACACTGTATGCCTGGAGTTGCCTTAGATTATTTACATACTCCCAACACAACAAAGAGTGGCGCTTTAGTTGCATGCAGTGAATGGAGCACCGTCAAATAGGTAATTTAAATTCTGTGGATCTTAGCCTTTAGGTCCTAAAGTTTTACAATATCAAAGTCTCATTTTGTTCCAATACCATTCTGAGTGTTTACCGTGGGGGCATTTTCTAAAATGCAGAGGAGAGGTGATTGAGATGAAGTCTTTGTCCTTAACAGCTCCCTGCAGAAGTACTAATACTAACCAGTCTCTTGTGGTTTGGGCACAAAGTAGCTATTTAATAAATGCCTATTTGAATTGAAAAATCAAAATACATACTCTAAGTCTGGTTAAACTTTGGTTCTTTGGAGGCCAAGATCTTAAGAGTAGGGAAGGCTGCATCAGACCATCCTGGACCTGCTTCAGAACAAATTACATCTTGAGTGAATAGAGCCACTCTGACTACCACTGAACTCTACAATCATCTAGTTATCAAAATTATTTGACAACAAAGACTCGGAACCCATAGAAATTTAATAGTATACATCACAACGATGTCCTGTAAAACTATAGGTTCTTCAGATATTAACAAATAGGACCAAGAAAGGAAGTCAAAGGCCTCTGTGCTGTAGGACTTCTCAATGTCTTCCAGTGACACAAGCTTGCTCCTTGTAGCTAATGTCTCTTCCTCACAGTAGTCCATTTTAGAGATGAGACGCTGAAGCTCAGAGAGACTACGTAACCTGCACCCAACCACACAGGCATCACCATAAAGTACAGAGTAGGACTCTGAAAGCAGGTCTTTCTGGCACCAAAAGCTGAGTTATGACCAATCAGTCAGTGTTGTTTATAGTGTTGACGACACTAGAATGCTCCCACGGGAACACAAAATATTCAGGGGCTCCCAAACGGACTTGATTAGGAAACCCTTTGGAAGGAATCAGAACATGAAACTTGTTTTCCATGCAATGCTTTTTGAGGAATATTGTGGGGCAAATGAATCAGAGATACTCCACAGAAGACAGAATGGAAGTGGAAGGCAGCTGAGAAGGAAAAGCTCTTTGAGAAGGAACATTTAGTAAGTGCACTCAAAGAATTATTAAGGACATATAAATTAGAACTCAGTTTAATAGATATTTCTTTACACCTCCAGATTCATAAGCTCCAGCTCATAACTCCTTTCTGTTAAAGACCATACCAGATATGACCATTAACTAGTTCTTTAGGGTTTGTGGAATTTTACTTATCTAGTAGTTTACCTCATCATGCCATCAGTTTTTATAAAAGTAACTCACATTGGGTATATAACTTTTAATTTGCTGTGTTTCTCAATAGACCTGGACTATCTTAGAGTGAGACAATCCTACATTTTACAAGAAGGACCCAGACTTTGCAGGATCTAACATCCCTGAACTCTGCTAAGTAAAGATCAGTTGGCTCCCAGCCCCCATCACTGTGACAAGAAAATATCCCCACAATTTCAAAACTCACTCTAGGGGCGTGGCCGCAGCTAATAGCGACAGATTTAAAGTAAACCATAAAATTCAGTAAGATATTAAAAGACAAAATACCTAGCTCAACCTTGCATTGAGTATTCCAGCAAAAAAATTCAAGATTTAACATGCCAGTTTCAATCCTCATGTCTGATGTCTCATTACATTTCTCTCCATCCTGTTAATAACATGAACAGATTCAACACAAACTGCCAAAATACCACTTTTAGCCAAGAGGGCCGAGCCCTGTGTACTTTGCCAAGAACAGCAATAACACTGGCTAGAAGCTAAGTCCAGAATCGCATGGGGTACTGGCTTACATCCGAGGCAGCGGCCGCAAATGAAGTAGACCTGAATAACCTATCATGTTGGTAAATGTGAATTTTGAGAAGAATGCTGTTTTTTTCTTTTCAAAATGATTTATTATCAAAAAGTTTGCTTCCTCTCACTAATGAGTCGGTGCAACAGTGCAGCTTCATCCTTTTTAGGATTATTAGGCCCTAAATAATTTTAGATCCAAAACAACAAACTGGGCTGTTGGTTCAGAAACAGATTCACAGATAGCGTCAGGACACAGTGAGGAGTCCCAGTTTCATTTCTTGATTGGAATGCCAATCACCATAAAATCTTCTGCTAGAGTCACTTCCTGCAGATCTAACACTGATTCAGCTTGCTTTTTCAGCTCTACAGTCCCATCTGTTTCTCCTTCTTTGGCCAAGGCAATTGGTTTGTACCTCTGACTGAAGTGAGTCAGAACCAGCCTCTTTGCCTGGCACAACTTTGCAAACGTTGCAGCCATCTGTGGTGTGCTGTGGCCATGCTCCTTTGCTTTGTCCATCTGGGTGTCATCCAAGGTCGCTTCATGGATCAACAGGTCTGCTTCAAAGCACAGCTTCACTCCTCCATCACCCACAATCCCAGAACAGTCACCCAAAATGCAGATTTTTCTTCCAACAATAGGCTTTTTTAAGACATCTTGGGGGGAAATTGTAACTCCATTTTCCAGAACAACAGAAATTCCATTTTTCAGCTTCCCATAGGCAGGACCTGGCGGAACACCTAATGATGGAGGCAGATAACACCACATCATGTGGATGGAATTTATGACTTTTAGAGCGTCTGTTTTAATAGTATAGCAAACAGCAAATGGAAAAGGCATTCAATTCTTTTCAGAATTGTTATATTTTACTACTTGTGGAAAACTAGAATATTTATACATTTTGAAAACTCTATTGTTGGCTATTGATATCAGCAATACCCTAGCACTACATTTCCCAAATACACATAGCAGACGGGCTTAAACGCTTATGTCTCACTAAGACCTTATCATAGTCAAGATAACAGTCTTGACTTTGCTGTGTGTGGGAACATTGTTTTCTGGGCTGCTTTATTTAATAAGCTCATCTTTGTGTAAAATTAAAGAGTCTATTTAAATAAGCACTAGGTACCTATAAACTGACTTTGTAAAAAAATTTTGGAGGGACTGTCTGGATCACAAGGTCAAGGAACATATCAGGAAATAATACTTAACCAATCTTCCTTGTTGATAGGGACATTTCCATATTTACCAAACTGAATTAAATTGCATGTAAATCTAGAATAATGCCTGATCACCACTTTGGACAACATATGCAAACCCCTCGACAATATGGTGTGAGCACTAATTGCAACACAGATTGTGTTTAAGGTTTCTATCAAATATAATGGCATTTCCACAGGTTTTTAGGTAATGAAAAACCTTTGCCTTAAGTCGCTTCTCATTATTTAGCAAGAAGAGACTGCATAAAGAAACAAACACACAAAGAACACCTCATGCTTTTTACAGGCTCTGCCCTGGCCATGCCAAGCAAGGTGGTGACGCTTGAGGTACAGGGGACCTGGGCATTGACTGGAGAGATACTAAAGACACCTGGCACAAAGGAGGTATAAAGCCTTGGGTGGGCCCCAGCCCATCTTCATGTGTTACTTCCAAGTGTGATTAACCAGGCATGTAAAACAGACAGTGTTCTTGACACCAGTTTAATCAAGGTTGAGCAAGTGGGCAACATTGGTAGAGAAGGAAAACCCTAAAAGGAGATAGTTGGAGTTGCAAGGTGAAGAACTATGGCAAATTCTCAAATAAAATATATTAATGAAAACATACTTCAAAAGGAAGAAAAAAAGACCCTAAAATGCAGACTAAGATGTGCATCCAAGGAGATGAAGAGAGAAAGAATCAAATACACAATTGGATTTTACTCTGAAGAGCATCTTTTGGTCCCAAGAAGTTCCTTCACTAAGTAAACTTTGGGCAAAGGAAATTCGTGAAGAGAATGTCAGTTTTAAACAAGGAAGACAAGAAAGGAAGGTTATTATGGTGACAACAGCTAGACTGAGGAAGAGGAAAAAACACACTTACCAAGGTCTTTCAGTTTCTGGGCATTGAGCTTGCCTGGGCGTTTCTTTTCTACAACTGAAAACCCAAAGGAGGGAATCCGGTGAAAGAGGCGAAATGCTTTCACAACAAACTGTTCATCATCAACCAGAAGGTAGGAGTTTTCTTCTGAGTCTAATAGGATTGTTCTTCCTTGTCCTTCTTTGGGAGAGCTTTCTTCTCTGTTCACATGTGCAAATTCTTTTAGTTCTTCTGGAGGACACTGATCTGCTGTGGGCACCAGCTCATGGACCACATAAGGGAAGACCAGCTCCGTGTGAGAGAGCTCCATGGTTCGCCAGATAAAGTCCCGAAGCCCTGCAGGGCCATAGATTTCGATAGGCTGTTTGGTGACTGTGGAGCCACTCTGCAGGCTAATTGTGCAGAGGAGGCCAGGGAGGCCGAAGAAATGGTCTCCATGAAGATGTGTGATGAAGATCTTGGTAATTCTCCCTTTTGATTGAGGCAGAGAAATAAAATTGGGAATTTTTCAGAATTAAAAACCCACACAGAGGTACCCAAAACATTACACAGTAGTTTGCACAGAAAGCAGTTTAATGAATTTAGAAGTGCTACTTACTACCCTAAACTTATTTCTTTACATTTTTCTACATGATTCCAAAAAGGCAGTCTTTATTTTACTAGTTCTAAAAAGATACAACCTTTTTTCATAAAACAGCTTCAAATTACCTAGTGTTAAAATTTTAAGAGTATTTCCCTACAGTTCTTACACACACAAAAAGCAGCACACTAAAATAATTCAGTCGTAACTGGATACCCCTCAAAGTTGAAAGCCTCTGGCTGCTACACTGCCCCCTACTGCTCCCTCTGAGAATAGCAAGTATGTACTTTGCAACAACAAAAAAATGTTCCCCTGGCTCCAACTGACTGGATCTGTGCCTGAACCTAAAACTGCCTTTTAAGGACTCTCTACTATGAACAGAGATTGACTAACCAAGTCAGAGGCTGCATGTCTTGGAAAATTTAAAGAGAGAGGAGGTGAAGAAAGAGGAATGTGTGAAGGAGAGGAAAGAGGAGAAAGAGAAATGAGAATAGGGGAGGAAAGGAAGGTTGGCTAGGAAGGGGCTCAGGTGAGCACTGGGTGCCAGCATGCAGCTCAGAGGGAGGGTCCCTGTGACACTATGTAAAATCACCCAGGCCTGCCTCTCCCTCCAGTCTGGACTAACACACCAGAGTATTTAGTGAATATTGGTTTAGCTTGTAACCTGATTTAGCCAATGGTAAACTGAATTTACTGATGGTATATGGCAGGATGCCAAATCAGCATTTTTCTGAAATGCACCATAAGATCACACTTTTAGCAAAACAGGCTTTCAATACCAGGTCATGGCCCACCTATTTCAAACATCTTATGCTGTAAAAGACCAGAAGGCAAACATCTGATATCATGAAAGAACAAATAGTTTATTATAATGTGGTTTATCATATGACATCATGGCAAAAGGGTTCTCCAAGAGTTTTCCTAGAGTTTATACACTAAACCCATGTCCCTGCAGGAAAAAATGATAGGGCACAGACTGGTTTAGACCCAAGGGTTCCCAGGAGGCACTACAGAAGTGCCTTCAATATCTTCTTTTTTGCTTTCCCTCTTTAATACTTGTTTTATAACTTCAATTTTTTTAAGTCCTTTCATTTCCCCCTTCCTGCTGTCTGGGTTGCCGAGGCACCCCCAGGAGTAACTCAAGGCCACTGTAGATTAAAAAACCACAAGGTGCTTGTGGAGCCACATCCCTATGGACCTCAAAACTGCTAAGTCAGACTTTCTGAGCTTCCTTCCTTTGTACTACAAAGCAAAGACAAAACCTAACCCCCAAACAAACAACCTGTGAGCCCCCAAAAGTGAGATAACTTGAGTAGGTAAAAACTTGCTTCTCACAGTTATCACAGTTTCAGGGGAAACAGACCTCCCATTTTTCAAGAAGCTTGATTTCAGAATGAAAAGGAACGACAGCCACAATCATCAACCATAAGAGGAAGCTATCAAATGAAGAAAGAAAAATGCATGCGTTCCCTTTCACTTGACAAGAGCAAAAGACTAAGCCCCCTGTAAATGATAATGCAGTTGTTTATAGTCATAGGAAAAGGTCAGTAATAGACTGTTCATGCATATTGGTCAGTCAGGAAACAAAAGCAGGTTTTACTAAGTGTAGTGTGATTCCATTTATGCTACACACACACATATACATGCACCATTACCATACAGAAAATGTACATGGGAGGAGGGATATTTAGGCTTTTCTAACACTTTTCTGCTTTGTTTAAGTTTTTGGAGAGCTTGTATAAATTTCACAGTCATTTTTTTAAATTACATTTTGGTGATACATTTTAAGTAATTATTTCAGAGAGAAAATAAGACTTAAGATCATCTTCAAAATTTGAAGAAATGGGGCATCCCTGGTGGCCTAGGTGTTAAGGCTCAGCAATATCACCACTATGGCCTGAGTGTGATCCCCAGCCGGGTAGCTGACCCACATGACACAGCAGACCTCTCCTGTCTCGCCTGCTGCTCCCCTCAGCAGTGTATTTCATCCATCTGCCCGTTCTGCTCCCCACTCTGTCTCTGGTGAATCTTCTCATCCCCCACACTCTGGCCTACACCCCAGTTCTTTTATGCAAAAATAAATTAACCTTTTAAAAAATATTCTGAAGAAAAAAACATGGCAAATTTATACATGTTAATCAGATGCTTACATATCAGGGTATAGAAATGTGAAAGTACATTTTGGATAATCAAAAAGTATTTCCTTATGAAAACAAAATATTATTACCACAAAAGGTAATACAAAATGAAAAGGTCTCAATGAATCAAATAATGATAAGTCCACTCTAGGCTGAGAAAACCCAAGGTGTACTGGGGGTTTTTAAAGTGTGACACTGTTGCCATGTTCCAGGATCACCATCTCACCCTCCTTTCTGAAGCTGGGAATTTTGGTATCACTAAAAATTTAGTAAGCTACAGGTCCCCCTAGGTTTTATCTTCCTTGTTTTATTTCATATTTTGTGTGTGTTGCGTGTGTGTTTTCTAGGCCAGGCTTAGTTTTACAAACTGTTTACTTACATAAGTGAAGTAGCTATAAAATATAAAAATTAGAGAAATGTGCTAGGTAGGGAAGACTAAGACGGCAGCCGCAGTCCCTGCCTCTGTGTTCACATTCTTCTATGACTCCCTCCCCTTGGGCTTGGGTTGGACTCCTGAAACAGGAGCCAGAGTGATTATATTACATCTAGCACTCCATGTTGCCAGCTGACTTACTCTAGCATCTCCCTCTCCCTCCCTGGCAGTAAGGAAGCCATCACAAAGCAGACACACACGCATCTAGGCACTATGGGAGGCTTCAGTCCAACAAATGTGGGATTCTGCCAATGTACTGAGTGAGCTCTGTGGCAGCTTCTTCCCAAGTTGAACCTCTGATGCTAATACAGACCCTAAAGTAGAGAAACCAGCTGAGCCAGCCCTGAACGCCCTGAGCTATGAACTATGAAATCAACTATGAGAGAAAAAAATCACCAAATTTTTAATCTAGTATATTGCTTTAGTAACTAATAACAGTTGTTCAATAAAAAGTAGACAACCCTAGCCCAAATTTCTGGTTTTCATACTTCACAGTTTCCTTTAGCCATGCTGCCACCTCAAGCTGTAAAAGATTCTGGGGGACGGTTTTTTACCACTGTCCTCAGTCTCTCTGGTGCTGGGGCCTTTGCTGCTCATGTCCTCTGGCTGGAATGCCCTTCACCCCAGGCCAGGAAATTCCTTCTCCTCCTTCAACAACCCACGCTCACTTTTTCTGAGAAGTTCACGCTGATAACCACTAGCAGGGAAGGACATCTCCCTTCTCTAGCACCTACCGCCCTCTGTGTCTTCTCATGATACAACTGCCTTCTGGTGGAGGTAAGCATGTATGCGTGCCTGTGCTTGGGCAGTTCCATTTAGCAAGTCCACCCTGCTCCACACACCCTGCATCCTCCACCCTACACAGACAGAAGGCCTGACAACATCTACAAGAGTGAAAAGTAACTAAATGAATGAAGTCCAGTGGATATGGCCGTTTGACTGAGGGTGTTCCAAGTCTTGCCAAGGTTCTGCATTAACGTGGGAGATACCTGAGCAAAGGCCCAAGGAGAGCCAAGAAAATGAATGAGAGAATCTTAATGAAGTAGTTGAATGTACACTGACCTGCTTTAAGTTGGCTTTTCATAAGCTGCGTCTGAGTTCCCTCTCCACAGTCAAAGAGCCAGCACTCACCCTCACACCGAAGGACCAGAGCAGAGGCCCCCCGGGTTGGGGATGGATATGCTGCACCAGTCCCCAGAAATGTCACATCCATCGACATCTTCCACCCTGCAATGGAAAGATCACCAGGGATTATTACTCGTCACTGTTCAAAATCAGCAAAAACAGGTCGCTGTGAGATATACTACCATTTATGCCTTTAGTTATTCAGAAAAGTCTGGATTCCAAACCCGTTCAGTTAAAAACTGTAGTTGAATTCCAACCTGTAACACTGCGAAAAAGGCAAAGATCAGTGGCTGCCAGGTTTGGGATGAGGGGCAAAGGACGAATCAGTGGAACATGGGCTTTTTATTTTTAGGGCAGTGAAACCATTCTGTATGATACAGTAAAGACAGACATAATTCATTATACACTGGTCAAAATACCTAGAATGTTCAACACAAAGGGTGCATGAGCCCTAATAAACTTTAGTGAATAATAACTAATGCAAGGTGTTAATAATAAGGGAAAGTGAGGGTTGAGTAGTTGCTGCACTTTTTATCAATTAAAAAAATTCTAATAAAAATAACTAGCTGAAATTCTGACCAAAAGATGGTCAAAAGATTTAATTATGCTCACTAAGTGACATCTCTGGGGCCCAAAGTGAGACCAGAAGTAACGGCAAACATCTCTGGGGCTCAAAGTGAGACCAGAAGTAACGGCAATGCGTTGCAACACTTTACAATCATGCTGATACCTCAAGTTAATGCCGAGTGGGTGTCTCCTTAAAATTACAAGGAGCGTGAATGGTTAGGGCTTGGGATTCTGCTCTTATAAGTTATCAGCAATAACTTATTGGATATGTAGACTTCTGCCAACTCCTGGCACCTTTCATCCTTTCACTATTTCTGGGTACCTGCCACCTCTGATTACGTCTGTCATAGGAGACATGCAGCAAATAGAATAAGTGAGAATAAACTTAAACTTATACATAACCAGTTTTAAATTAGCCACACTGACGGCAGGGAGGAAAAACAAACATATAAGTAATTTTAAGAACTGCTAAAATAAGAAAACTTGACAGAACTGGAAAAATATACAAAGCATCAATAACTTCTCAGTTCTAGAATAACCAAGTAAAAATAGAAATGGGGGAGGGAGGATTTCATTCACGAAAGCAGAAAAAACAAAAAAGAAAAATCATCTTATAAAATACCTGGAAGTAAAGCTGACAGGAAAGGGCCCTAATAGGGATAGACATTATGTTCCCTGACAGAAGGCCTGCTACCATAGAAATGTCAATCTTTACATAATGTAGGTATATCTACTGCAAATTCTAAAAGATTTCTAATGGGATTTACCTTGGTACAAAAATGTCCGAAGATCACATAGGAGAATAAAAATAAATGTCTGATAATGCAAAGTAGCAAGAAAAGTATGTAAAGTAGTGAATAGTGATTTGTGTTTCTAGGTATTAATACTAATTAGGTATAATTAAAAGAAAATAATAATGGCACAAAAATAGATGTGAAGGAGAAAGCCTAGTCCAGAAGTAAACCCAAATATATATACAAACTAAAATATAACAAAAGTAAGAAAAGGAACAACACTGGTATAACTGGCTATTCTTACAGAAAAAAAGCATTCTCACTATGCATTTATACATAAAAATTTATTCCCATAAATGTTAGAAATTTAATTGAAGAAAGTCCAATAGAATGTTAAAAAATTAGGAGAATATACATAACTTTGGGGATGGGAGAGTCCTTGCTGGCAAGATAGGAAGCCCACCAATCATAAAAAGACATTTTCACTTTTATAAAAACTGCTACATATGAAAAACTTAAAATCAAAGAACCAAAACAAACACCTGGAGAAAACTATTTGCACTATATGACACTCAATGCTTCTAAGAAAAAGTTCATGCAGGTACATCAAGAAAAGAAAAGGAAAAAACTGATAGAATAATAAGCAATGGAAAATACTGGGAACTTAGAGAAGAAACTCAAACAGCCAATAAGCAAGAAAAGTAGCCAATGTCCAGGTAGTTATAGGAAATGCGAAAGGCACAAAGAATGGTGATTCTACTCTTTATTTCCTACTCTTTATCCCAGCAAACTCATCTTTGGGAATTTAGGAAATAAAGGATCTATGTACACTGTTTATTATGGTACTTTCAAGGTAGCTAAAATATAGAAACAATATGAAAATATGTCAACAGGGAAATGACTGAATGTTTTTATGTCTGCAGCTAAGACTCCTGTCCTGGAAGGATAAATTGCATTTTTCTAGCAATAATGAAAACCCCTACATTTACATATGATAGGAAAAGTGTGACAGGAAGGATACATACCATACTGTTAAAATTGGTTTTATCTCAGGGGTGATTTAAAATGGTGGTGGTTGGGGAACTATTAAACACTTGGCTTGCTTTGGGTTGCAATGAGCAGAATTTATCAATTTTATAGTTAACGTAATATATTAAAGTGTCGTAAGGCTCAACAGGCCTTTCTAGTGACACAATCACCTCCCTCTTCTTTTCCATTTGGATGCTTGTTCCCTTACCCCATGGCCACAGACACCACACACACACACACACACACACACACACACAAGATGGCTACCTCTCCACCCAAGCACAAGTCTTGTGCTTACTGCTAGTGCCCTTCTATGTGTTACTCCGCATTTTCATTTTCAAGATTAAGTTTTCTTCTTTTTGATAAGCAGTTTAATTTGCAGAGGTCTTCCCATTCAATTGATGTTTACAAGAGCAATGAGAATGTAGGAAGGAGTAACAGAATATAACAACTTTGCAATCCTTAACAAATAATAGATCTAGGTGAGGGTACATAACCCTGAAATACATTAGAGTCATCTGGAGAGTTTTTCAATATAATGGGGCTCCTTCCCAGAAGAATTAAACAGGAACTTCTGCAAGTGAGACATGTGTTTCATATAAAGAAAAAATTCCTCCCCTCTGACTCTAACATGCAAGAGGGTTGAGAACCAATTAGTGAGAGGCTAATGGCTGGACCAAGCTGACCAGAATAAACTAGTCAACTAGTCAATCTTAAAAAGAAAAAAAAAAAAAGAAAAAAATCAAACCATACAAAAGTAGACCGGCATAATGCATTACTGTATACACATCACCAAGCTGCAACAATTATCAGCTCAAGGACAGTCTGCTTTCATCCATGTCCCCTATGCACCACCCAAGAATACTTGTTAAGTATTGATCCAATAATACTTGCTAAGTGGTATTGGATACTTCCATGAGGAAGTACATGCTGCCTGGCTGTCTCTATTTTTCTGATGTTAACAGTTGCTAATGATTATTGCCAGGATCCATTACTTCATTAAGGGTTGCCAAAAGGTGATAGTCTTTCACTCCATCTGCAGTTATTAGCTGGCATCCTTCTGTAATTCCCAGGTGGGTTATTTTGCTACCCTGCGCTGCAATTTGTGAAAGGTCTTCTGACCAAACTTAACACTACAGAGACAAGATCTTATCTCCTAATGTGATGTAACAGGAAGTCCGGGAGGTTTTCTTGCCCCAAAGTAGAAACTAATTTGAAAAAGGCTGTAAATACTAGTTTAGTAGAAGACACCACAGGGATGGAAAGAGTACAATCCAGCATTGCAAGAAACTTATAGAACAAATGACTTGGTGTCTTCAACGAGTATAAAAAGGGCAAAAAAATAAAGTGAGAAGCGATAAGGAGGTTAAAGGAAATTTAGTAAGATGTCAACCAAATGTAATGTGTGGCTTGTTTGGAATCTGTTTTGGACAAACTCATGATGGGAGGGGAAGAAAGACAACTGGGGAAATGTAAACAATGCCCGGGACAGGTGAAAAGATTACTACATTGATTATAGCTTCATATTGTGTTTTATAAACATAAAAAAGTACCTAAGGGATGAATGGCGGGTGAGGGTAACAGATGAAACAAAACTGATCATGAGTTGGGAACACAGCACACTATATACCATCTTATGTTTTAAAAGAAACCAAATAATCAAAACCCTTCCCCTGGGGTCGGAAGTAGTCCCAAGTGAATTTATGTAACCCATGGCGCACGTGGGATGACAGGCAACTTCTAGGCACTAGCCACTGAAAGTGATAAACCAGATTCGGTCTCTCTTCTTAGACAAAGACCGCTGCTGGCTTTCATGGGACTGTGATTCGGACGAAGTGCCGGTTTCGCTCGCGAACACGGCGCAGGACCACAGTACAGTCATTTGACACCCGAGGCCCGTGGCTCCCAGCCCCGGCCGGGGAGCCACTGCCCGGCGGTCCCCGGCCCTCGCGTGTGAACGCTTCCCAGGGGACCAAGGCTGCGGGGCTGAGGACTCCCCCTGGCCCCCCCGCAATCGCCTGTAGGGTGCGCCCATCCTCCATTTTAGAGGCGACTCCAGACCAGGGGGCTGGGGGCGCGGGCACTGCAGACCACCGCCCGGGGCCAAGTCCCGGCACGAGCGAGCCGGGCTCTCCTCCAATTCCGTGTCAGCTTCCCCAGCGGCGGGGCGCGCCGCGCCTGGCGCTCGGGGCGGTGGACTAGGCGCGTCCTCGCTCCCGCTCGCATTCGGGGCCTGGGTCCGGCGCGCCCGGTCGG